TGTCTCTTCTGTTCTTTGCAACTGCTGTTGTGAGAAGGACAAAAGACCGTTGTTGGGGCTCTTACTTAGGCAGTTATTTTTTTTCCTACAAGCAATTTAAGTGCATACTTCCATGTTTTGGTGCCTTGTGTAAGTGACTGTTTTATATGAAAGGAGGCATTTTTGGCTAGAGGACCTGTGAACAGCAGGTCAGGGTTCCTGTGGCTTGTAAAATTGGGCACTGAGAAGTTGCCCGGGTGTCATGGTGGTACTGCCCCATCTTTGCAGAAGGACCTACTGCTTCCAGGTGAACTTCTCATTCCAGAGCTTGTTGCTGATCAGGAATGATAGAAATACTGATTAATACTCCTAGGGCAGAGGAAAGGTTCGAGTGATCCAGGCTCCCAACATGGAAAATACTGGCTTGTTTGGTTTGTTTTTTGGTAATTTAAATCGTAGAGATGATCTGTAATGGGATAGATGACACTGCATCTGATCATCCTAATATATTTCAGATGATTATCTTGACAAATACTGTTAGTTTGTAGTAGACTTTGCACAGGTAGCAAGATGAAGAAAAGTCGGTCTTTTGAATTTCAAGGCTTTCTTTGTACGGTGATTTTTGTGTCCTTCTGTCCTGTGTGACTCAGGGTGCTGCACTTTGTCCTGTGTAGTCCCTGATATCTGCTAGTGAAATTAATGGCTAGCTGGGTGGTGGTAGAAGGGTGCCAGTCCTTGCAGTGGGACTTCACTAAGCAACTTTGATCTAATTGGGCTTCCCTAAAATTCAGAAACTCATTTACCAATTTGGGAAGAGATAGTGGTGTTGCCTTGTTGTGCCATGCCAAGTGGTGTAACTATCACAAGAAGATGCATTAGATGCTTCAAACTTGCTTGACAATAAGAAAAGCAACTGTTTCGCTGCTGTTTTCCTTTAGAACAGCGTTTCCCCTTACAATAGGTCTTTCCCAGACAGACATTTGACCTGTTCCTGCAACAACAACCGCAATTGTAAGCGGGCCGTATGGGAAGAGCACACCACTCTCCTGGAAGTCAGCAGACCGACTTCCATTCAAAGCCTGTTTGTTTTATGGCCTGCGAGTCATCTCCTGCTATGTTTGCTTTGCCTGTTTTCTAGATGGCAATCTGTTCAGCAGAGGAAATGCCTTTTTATTTCTGTGGAAGATTTGGGTTCAGGTTGCTCAGGGATGAAAAAATTGCAGCTGGTTGAGAAGTCAGTCACTAATTTTTGCTACCTATAGCCAAGATAAATTTGCCTGAAGAGTACCTTCCTTTATTGAAAATGACACTGTAGCTTTACATGCAATGAATGTAAAACCATATAAAAACTTTAAAGTCCTCATGCTAGCTAAGCTTTTCCTGTTTAAAATGTGTTTGAAGCTGCTTCAAAGCAGAAGCTTTGCTGCTCTAGGGAAAAGTGCTTTAACTCTAGGTACCGGATAAATTTACCAGTGACTGTTGGACTTCTTTGGCCTGTCTCTAACATAGTTTGTAAGGCAGAGATCCTTCAGTTAATTGGTGGAATAACCTTATACCTTCAACTTGAGGCTATTGCTAAAGATGGTTTGCTTGATTGGATGCACTGTTTGGCCTAGCCCATGGCTGGAGTTGATAGAGCATTTTGATTCAGTCTCGTAGGGTTTTGTTTCCTACTAGTAGTGGAATTGAGACTGAAATAAAGGAGGTGAAACTGTGAACCCCTGAAGCCATTAGCAAAGCTGCCATTGACTGAAGTAAGTCTAGGATCTCAGCCAAGGGTTTTAGTTGTTTAATTTATGGTAACATATTAATTGAGTTGTATTAAAACAAGGTTTCAAAAAAGTTAATCTTTAGCTTGATGATACCATCTCCATTCCATAAATATTGTGTGTGGTGTTACTAAAAGTTTTACCTTTTTTGGGCAGTTGATAAAGGTAGAAGATTTTAATTTATTTTTATAATCTGTGTGTTTGCAGTCCTGGGGAGGAACTAAAGTACGCAGTTGTCATTATTGCTGTAAATGAAAAGGACTTTATCCTAAATCTTCTAATTCTTTTATAGTATATGGCAGCAGAACTATCTAACACTGTATCCTGCAGGAAATATTTGGCATACTTGTAAGCTCCAGGGAGAGGAGAACTATGATGATAACATCCATTAGTGTTGCTTTTGAATGTGAACTTGCATAAAGACTTTCTCCAGAAAACCCCCCACTATTAGATTTAAATGCTTTTTAGCAAAAGGAATGTATTGCAAGCTTTTGACCTTCCTGTCCTGTATGAAGCTTTACTGGTGTGTACACCAGCAAAGCCTCTTGATTCGTAGACTCTTTAAAACTGTGTGCTGCCTTTCTAGAAAGTCGACATCTGGACTGTATTTATCGTACTATTTTCTCTTTACTGGATGTGTTAGAGTAGATTTCCCTGCTTCAAAATTTAATAAACTTTTGTTTCTGTAATTTGACAGAAAAGATTATTTATCTATTTTTAAAGACAAAGCTGATAATCCGTTCCCTAGCTCTGATGACAGTAAGAACAAATTGTATTGTTTTAAAAATGTAAATGTATATTTTGCTGTACTTTTCTTATTTCTCTTGCCTGCTGGAATAGTTTCAGCATTAAGCTAAAAAATCTAGAAACGGGCAAGATTGCTTTTATTATTGCCTGTAGTCCTGAATTACGTTAATGTAAACACTGCAGTAAAAAGGACACTAGAAATAAAGACTTGAGAAGCAAGACCTCAGATGCCAATTCTTTTTTTTCTGCTTATCAATCTTCACATTTGTCTGTATGTGGTGACTTTAGGCCACAGAATCCCAGAAATGGGATTTTTCATTAAGAGTCAAAGTGTGTTGTTCCACTTGTAGTGGTCCCAAAGTACACCCAGTTTGTGTTGCATATTGATAGTATCTTGGCAAAAGGGAAACTCAGTTATCCGTTAGCTAATTCTCAGAGTAATCTTCTTTGTAACTAGCTCTTCAGGTAATACCTTCCAAGTTTTTTCATGCAATGAGCAAAGCTAGCGTAGTCAACAAGTTTCAAGAGAAACTACCCTCTCTATCTCTGGAAAGTTTTGAGTAATTGAGTACAGTGATTTCTAATCTTTCATATTTTGTATTATTTTCTAATGATGTTTGTCTTGTGAGCAAAAACGGAACAAAAATGGTTTTAGACAGATTGATGTTGTTGCTTCTGGGAAGCAGATGCCATCAATAAAATTGGGTGCCTTGGTTAACCTTCTAGTGTTGCAGGCTACAATTTGGTAACTGAGGTTGTGATAAATATCCCACAGCTCGTCTGCAGAATCATTCTTGGTTAAAAGTTTTCTCCCACAACCTAGGGGCTGGTACTGTTCTGTCAGGTCAAACAGATGAGCTGTTTCACCTGAAGCTTGTACCTAGGTCTTGTAGGCTACTCTTCTGTGATGAGGTTGCTAAGCTGCTGTGAGTGAGCTTCTTCAGTCCCTGTTACTTCTTGCTCGTGGATGGAGCAATGCATATACGGCTGTCTCTTAGCAAGAGGTCCCCTCTGCTAGTGCAGTTGTCCTTTGAGGTTTCCATAATTTAAGAGGATTGGAAGGTAAAAAGAAACCAGGATTGTTTTAGAGTCCATTCTCTTTGAAAATCTGGAGTAAAATCCTTTCTGTATATGGGAAGTTAAAATTCCAAGTCTATAATGTCTCATTTTTGCAGCTGTTAAGTGTAGTGTGAGGATAGGGATGCTTCTAAGCTGCCTGCCTGATGAAGAAGTGCAGGTCTGAAAGTACTAAATACCTAAGTAAATACAGACTAGCTACAAAACTGGGGTATGCAGCATGGTGGAGGAAAGTATTTATGAAGACTGAAAAAGAATGTGCCTAAATCCTG